ACTTAAGTCCGCACATCAGGACATCAGGTAGAGCTCTCTCAGATTAACTACTCTGCATAGCCAGAAAGTCATATTTTTAAAAAAGATTTCTGGGTAGCTATGAGAAGACTTAAGTCCGCACATCAGCACATCAGGTAGAGCTCTCTCAGATTAACTACTCTGCATAGCCAGAAAGTCACATCTCAGGGTGCTGCTAGGGAAGAAGGAAAGGTCCCTAGGGGAGTGCAGGAGATTCACGGTCCCCAACTCCATGGTTCACAGTGACTCAGTGGCTTCACCAAATCAAATCTGTTTTCTTAATTATATCACTTAATGGCTATGAGCGTCAGTTGAGGTTGAATGCTCTAGAAAGTTTTATGAATAATCTAATATATTATTTATAATAAAAATGATTCAGACTGGCATTATCAAAGAACATCTTTAGTGTGTATAGCTGCAAGAATAAGAGTGCTATCTATTCAGATAGAAATCGGCCTTAAGCACATTACATATTAAATAAGGCCATGTTGTGTTTAGGATGCCAAGCTTAAAATCACCAGCAGTGCCCTTCACACCTGCCCCTGCTTACAATTTCAGATCTGTCTGATCCTCCCCCTCCCAAAACCCTACATGGAGCCCTGGTTTTCAAGCACAAATGAACTCATGGTGGTTTCCACTAAACAAGATAGATTGTTCTTAACAGGCCTCCCCCAGTTCATTCAGTAGTAAATTTCCATTATAGGTCTCTGGGAAGTCTTCTCTTGATGTATCAAACATTGTTTCATCTGCAGTACACATGGTCTTCCTAGGTACGCTGTAGGACCTTAAGGGCAGATATCGTATCTTACACATTGTGAGATCTGGCCTTGGCATACGAGCAAATACTTGGCCTGCAGTAGGTTACTGTTTCATGAAAGGATCATAAGTACCCTTGGAAGGTTCATTCTATTGCCCTATTCTGCATGCCAAAAGTCTTAACATTGCCTATAACCATAGGTGCTCTGTCCTTTGGTTGTTTCTTTCTGGAAGGTGGTGATTAGCGATGTGTTCTCTGTTGAATAAATTTTCTTTTGTTTTCCTGATTTTGTAGTTTCGTAAGTAGATGTGTTTTAAAAGTCACTAAACCATTAGTTTTCAGTCTTTTTCTTCAGATAAGTTGTATTTTTTAATTCATACAATGTTGATCGTGCTGTAGCTTAGAGAACAAAATAGCCAAAGAATCTCTATTGAAGAAATCTTTATTGAAGAAATGTTTAACCCAACCATCTTAACTTCCTTGTATAAGCAAGTTATAACATGCAGGGTGCATTGTGTTTCACATCAAGAAACAAAACATTGAGAACTGCCCAGACCCCAAAGGGTGTCACAGCCCAGTTTTGCTCTGTTTCTTGCATTGGCTTTTTTAAAACAAGTCTTCTGACCTAAAAACCTTGTCTTCCCCATGTTCCAACAGGCAGAAAGCAGTCACATGGTCTAGATAATCAAATGTATCCTAATGTGAGTTAGAAAAAGATCCCACTGCAGAAGAATCATGACATCATATGTATTCAAATGTTCTCTGCTTGGGTGTTTTTTTCCACTGCACTTAAAGGACCATCATCTGTAGTGAAGCTAAAAGTAGATTGCAATTTTATATTTGTAAATTGTTTTAGATACAAGGACACTGAATAAAAATACAACGTAGGTTTGATTTTTAAATTAATACAAGTTCTAAAACACTGCCTTTTACCCTGTTGGATGTACTTGAGATCCTGTTTATGTTTCCAGGATCTTCATAATATTTGTAAATCTGGAATGGGAAGAGAGAATGTTCTATTGGAGGCAGTTTTTAAAGTTTCTAGGCATCTGGCTGCTGTATTTTTAGCTCAACCTTTGTGAATACTGTGTGAACCTTTTAGTTCCTCCACTGAAACACAAATCTCAAAAGCTCTCTGTCTTCAGCCTTCATTTTGGCATAGATGTGTTTACTTGTAAAGAGTCATAGGAAGGCAAGTCTTTATCAGAGCTTGCTTTTGAGACACACATTAAGAGAGGCTGTTCTGAGCTCTTGATAGAAGTAGAATTGCAGCTGGGCACTCCATTTAGTAAGTTTTTTTTCTTTTCTACAAATACACAAAAAAACCCACAGAATTCCTTTTTACTTTGTCTTACAAAACTGCACAGATAGGAAGAAGTTGTTAAATGTATGTGCTCTCTCTTTGCTTCATTGTGACCACTTAGCAGCAGCATTTGGGACTCTAGCCCTCAGACAGACCCTCAAAGTTCATTTACTTGTATTTTGTTTTCTGACTTTGCTGCTTTTCTCCTTTCTTCTTATTTCATGTGTGGTTCATGCCGTGCACATGGAGCGATCAGAGGACAGCATGTAGGAGTTAGTTGCCTTCTACCATGGGTGTCCCCAGCGACACTCAGATCATCGGGCGTGGAGGCAAACACCCTTACCTACCAAGCCATATTCTTCACCGTCCATATTCTTAGTCACTTATTCCAAATTAAACCTTCATTGCTGTAAGAGTTATAAGACAAACTGGGACGGTTAGATGGAGAGATAGACGGAAGTGTGGTACATCATTTACAGTGAGTTGTTAACGGTAGAAGCTACATGGAAGGCGTAGTGTCTGCCATGGTTTTGATGTTGCTCGTGGTGGGTACTACTACTAGTGGGTCATAGGTCATTGAGATTATTGCTCCAAGAAGGATGTGTTAGTCTCCTGGTAAGTTCTAAAGAAGAAAAGCTATTATAAAAGGCTGAGCGTGTGTCAACAAGGTAGTTCAGCCAGGACAGCTGCTTGCTGCCAAGCCTGATGACCTAAGTTCTATCCCTAAGACTCTGATAAAGGAAGTGAGAGAACTGACTCCCAAGCTAGTTGTCTCCTGACCTCCCCACCATTCCATAGCATAAGCATACAGATACACACAGTAAACCAATCAATATATCAGTTTAGTAAACCAGTCAATTAATAGATCAGTTTTGTTGTTGTTGTGGAAGCCAACCCAACCCCAATGTCTGAAGCATCCTGCCTCACTGTGTAATTTTTTTTTCTTCTGTCACATGCTGTGGGCCCCAAAGCAACTAGTATTGTCATAGTTGGACTTTGAGCACCTCTCCTTCATAAGTAAGCTGCCTTAGGTATTTTGTTGCAATAATAAATACTAACGCAGAAGTGTCCACTGATAAATTGTTTCAGTTGTGCTGTGTTTGAAAATTGTCATGATAAAAGCTCAGGTGGTTTTCATGAAGATAATACTACAGGAACTCGTTTATTCTGAGTGTAAATGTTTATATTACATAATTAGAGGGAACTGAGTATTCTTTTAGAATAAAAACCCACATTAATCTATCTTCACAAATGAGATCACTGGGTTGATTTTCAAACTCTTAATTTCTGAAACTTAGGTTGGGCATGGTAAATAATTGAGAATGTATAAAAATTCAGGCATGTGATAACAATTGTATTATTGAATATTGAATAGAACACAGGTTATTGAAGCCATGGTGTATACATATTCAGTGTAATACTGTGTACCATTAAAGTATATGCTCAGAGACAAATGCACTGACATAAAGATGTCTGTGACATGATATTTTGTATATAGCTCGAAAGGTAAGGATTAGAGATATGGTATATGTGTGTCGATGTTACTTTTAAAATAGGTATTACAAATTTTTTCCAATAAAATTTTCCTAGTTTTTAAATTTAATTTAGTAACATAAGAAAGAATAAAAATGGGAAAAGGAAGAAAAGAGAAACATTTTTTCTCTTAAACTAGAGCAAGAAAATCTTGAAATTTTTACATATTTCTTATCAAATTGAAGGAATGTGTTTTATATATAAGACAAACAACAAAGCCATTCATGTTTCTGAGGATGTTTGAGGATGCCACAAGTGGGCTTTTGAAGGGCAGTTACAGTGATCTCATGCGCTGGCCCCAGAGCATTTCATACTTGGAAATGCCCATCCTTAGTCCCTAATTGCATTAATGCCTGACTCATGTGGGAAGGAAGCTTTGATGTGGAGAAAGGAAAATCCATTTTTCTCTGAATACAGTTCTGATACAGCTCCTTTGAATACAGTAACCACTGATACAGTTCTGACTGTGTGACACCTGTGCTCCCTGGTTTCTCAGGGTCCCAGAGAGAGAGAGAGAGGGGGAGAGAGAGAGAGAGAGAGAGAGAGAGAGAGAGAGAGAGAGAGAGAGAGAGAGAGAGACAGAGACAGAGACAGAGACACAGAGAGACAGAGAGACAGAGAGTTCAAGGATACAAAAATAACTAAAATGTTCTTACTATAACTCTATAAGGAGATTTAAGCAGTGTTAAAGTTGGTAATCTTTTACAGTGTATCTCTGGAAGCAATGGAGGACTAGAGTATTATTTTTTCTTCATGTATTCATATTGATTAAACTCTGTATGGTCCTCAATTTAATTCTTCAGATATTACTTGATTCAGAAGAAACTGCCTTCATTGAAAGAAAAGTTGCATAGTGTGTTAGTTACTTTCCTGTTGCAATGATAAAATTCCAGGACTAAGAATAAGTTATAGAAGAAACAGTTTATTTTTGCTTTTGGCCCTAGAGGGACAGTCCATCATGGTTGGGAAAGCATGCAGCAGGAACAGGAAACAGACCCATCACATTTCTATCAGCATACAGGAAGCCAAGAGATAATGGGAAGTGGGGTAAAGCTGTAAACGTTAAAATGTTTTCCCTACCTCCCAGTGATGTTTTTCCTTCAGCAAATGTTCCATAACCTCTCCAAACAGCTCTACCAACTGGGGTCAAGCATTCAAGTACATATTGATTAAGATAATATAATCAAAATTAGAGCTAGTCTCTGGGTTCTACTTTTCTAGCTCACAGTAATTGCATGAAATTTGTAGTCCATTCTTTGGTGTGTGTGTGTGTGTGTGTGTGTGTGTGTGTGTATACAAGTGGACATTTGTACATATGACACTCTTCTCCTCTATCCTATCATCCTGTCCATTATGTCTGATTGGTCCCTCAAAACACTAAATGTTTTCTTCATTTCTTATTTTCCCCAGGCAAAATGTCCATTGACCGAGCTTTGAGGAAGCAGCAACAGTTAAACAACCTTGTTTACATGGTGCTAAATCAAGCCAAACCTGGTGACAGAATTGTGGATTTCTGCAGTGGCGGGGTATCACATGTCTCCTCTTGTCCTTTAGCTTTTCCAAGATCACTGTCTAGAAATGAACAAAGCCATGGGAGCCACAGCTGACTTTTTTGTCTTGCTTTTCAGGGCCATGTTGGAATTGTGCTTGCGCATATGCTGCCTTCTTGCCAGGTGAGGGTGAATAGGAGACTACGTAGAACAGTTTAGCTAAGTACAGCTCAGGGGCCTAATCCTAACTCTTGGCTTTGCAAATTATTTGCTCATCAAGTATGTGGCACATACTTTCCTTGGAAGTAAACTCCTGAGATCAGAATAAAGCTAACCTTGTTTTCACCACAGTCACAACTACAACTGCTTCCAAGGCCTGTATTTTAACATAAACGATCTGGTTTCAAAATGTTATTTTTAAAAAATATATAGTCAGCTGGGGCAGAGTGTGAACTCTCCAGGCACTGTGACTACTGTGAGAAGAAAATCTAGAGCTGACAGATCGTTTTCACCACAGTCACAACTACAAGTGCTTCCAAGGACTGTATTTTAACATAAACGATCTGGTTTCAAATGTTATTTTTAAAAAATATATAGTCAGCTGGGGCAGAGTGTGACCTCTCCAGGCACTGTGACTACTGTGAGAAGAAAATGTAGAGCTGACAGATAGTCAGACACCTGATGGGAAAATGACTGGGATGGGGTTTGTTGTCTTTCATTTAGAGCAGTGGCCCTCAACCTGTGGGTCATGATGACCCCTTGACAATCCTCTCTCCCCAAACCTATTTGTGTCACAGTTCATTACAGCAGCAAAATCACAGTTAGGAAGTAGCAACAAAAATAATGTATGGTTGAGGGTCACCACACATGAGGAACTGTACTAAAGGGTCACAACATTAGGAAGACTGAGAACCACTGCCTTGAAGAATAAAGGGCAAAATAAGTAAAAGTCTGAGGAGAAGAGGCAAGCCCTGCAGTAGTATTGAGGAAGAGTTCTGTGACTAGCTGAGAGGAAGCACGCACAGAGCAGAGTCCTGAGAAGCAGGGTGGGGGTGGGGCATCTCTTCCCCTGTCTAATGATTCTCCTGGAAAAGGGCTTCAGCTAGATAAAACCAGAAGGCTTTTAGTATCAACTGTCTATCAAGTGTTTTATGGAAAGTGATAAAGTATTTTTCTATAATGCATGCATAACGAAAAAATAAATAACAACGACGTCTTAATTTTATCTATGAATACTGGTGGAGGCTTCTACCTCATCGCACCAATCCAAGCTCTTTACTCCAGCTTTTGGAACCTTGTTTTATCGTAAATCTGTGATCTGCCCTCCCATTATTTCTTCCACCTCGTCTCCATCCTTTACACCTGCCCTCTTTCCCACGCTTGTTGTTTCCGTGCACCGGGTCCCCATCAGTTTTCTCAGCTCGGAAAAAATAAATAATAACAACGACGTCTTAATTTTATCTATGAATAGTGGTGGAGGCTTCTACCCCATCCCACCAAGCCAAGCTCTTTACTACAGCTTTTGGAACCTTGTTTTATCATAAACCTGTGATCTGCCCTCCCATTATTTCTTCCACCTCGTCTCCATCCTTTACACCTGCCCTCTTTCCCACGCTTGTTGTTTCCGTGCACCGGGTCCCCATCAGTTTTCTCAGCTCCTTAAATCCTGATCGACCATGACCTTCCTCAGGCCACGTTCCCTTAGCTAACTTCTGTGCGTCTCCAGGCCTTCCTGGAAAGCAGCCTTAGTCTTCACTTCTGATTACATTCCACTTGCCTGTCTTTAACTGAACACATAGCACACTGTTACTTCACTTTCTTTCACTTACATCATTACATGCTAAACTTCAGAGTTCAAGACATTGTTCATTTTGTACCAAGGAAGCTGTCATACAGGATAGAGGTTTAGTAAATGCATCATGCATTATTATTAAGATATGAAATATAAGTCTGTCTCAAAAAAAAAAAAAAAAAAAAAACAACATCAGATATGAAATATAAGTCTGTCTCAAAAAAAAAACAAAAAAAGATATGAATTTAGTAATAATGCTTGGCATTAATGTCTGAATTGTGTTACTGAGTGTACTGGATTTTTCTCCTGTGTAAAATCTAGGTTACATTAATAGAAAACAAGGAATTATCACTAATCCGTGCCAAGAAGAGAAGTGACGAACTAGGTTTAAGCAATATTTGGTTTATTCAAGCAAATATGGAGTATTTTACAGGAATGTTTAACATTGGGGTAAGTAGTCCTTAATTTTGGTTTCTCTAATTAGCTAAATAATTTTATTTTGGTTAACTAAAGAAAACAATTTTGTATTCTTTCCTAAGCAAGGGCATATTTAACTTGTATGTGCTCTTGACTATAGCATGACATTACTGCACTCACAGTCCTTTCCCGTTGCGTGACAGATAACATCTGCTCATGCTTTGGACAAGAATTTTATCTGATGCCCTGGAAGGTGATGAGTGCCAAGAACAGTGTTTGGCACGGAGAAAATGCTAGTCATGGTTATTAACGTGGTTATTAATCAGATTATCTTACCTTATCTTACCTTAGTCTACACCAAAAAGAAAAAAAAAAAAAAACAACCCCCCCAAAAAAATACAGCAGAAGAGCACTAAACAAAACAAATCAAAGTGAAAAAATATTTGATATTTACATGTTATTTTGAGCTTATAAACATTATGGTTATATTTTTGAATCCTTGGGCCAAGTTGTTATTATTTAATTAAGAATAATTAAGAGGCCATCTCATAGCTGCTTTATTCTTCAGGTTCTAGACTCTTGTGGAATTTGTGCTTCAGTAAGGTCTAATGTCTTGTCAATACTCCTATTCATTTAAAAAGTTTTATTAATATGAGTATATCCTCACCATAGATAAATACCTTATAAAATGAAAAGGCCATCCCTTGTATACTTAGTCTTGTATACTGAAAGATAAGTATTATGAATAACTTTTGGTCTTTATGCATTTATGCACATAGACAAATGCTGATTTATGTATGAGCCTTGGGGAGCCAGTGTAACCTAGATCCCTCTATAACTGGACATTGGCATACATTTTCCCCTAGTTATTAAGCATATTCTTCTTACTTTCATAATAGCTCTTTATGTTTTTTTCAAAGCATTTTGATATAGTTCTGTGTAACTGCCCATCCCCACTCTGTTCACACCTTACTGGATAGAACTGTCACCCACATCTAGAACTCAGAGATTCTGTAGCAATTGTTATTTTTGTGTACTAAAACTCATGTCGTAAACATTGACTACTGAAAATGGTGACGGTTTGTTTTGCTTTTTTCAACTAAAACGCAATCAATTTATGTCCTTTGTAGATGTGAAAAAATGTTTGAAATAGCAGGAGATTGCTACCATGTACCACCTCCCAAACATGACATTTTCACCTCACTAGTCCCGTTTGTCCTCTGTGGCTACAGGTGTGAAGGCATTCTGATAATCTTCTAGCTTCGTCAATTGAAATGTGTGTGTCCTTTTGGAAACAGAATTTTTTTTCCCCTATATTTCACTATTATATACCTGTCATGGATTTTTCCCTTCTGTAGTTACTTTGGCTGTCCCTGTGTGCTGTATAGTGATTTTTATTTACTATTTTCACTGTTTTAATTGACTATATGCAACATAGTATTTTTATATTTACAAACATCTAAGCAATCTATATAGAAATAAGCATGTGAAATACATATTAAAATTGTAAACACGAGTATTTCTTTTCATGTGACATGGAGACATGCTCTTGACTTGGACGGACTTAAATCATGATAAGCCAATAATAGAGATTGTCATAAGTAGAAAATGTGTATAATACCAAACGCAATAAGGAGCTGCTCAAGTCCTTGTGATGACATGGCTAAGACCTGAGCTGTACTGCTCTCTAGCACCACAGAGAGGTTCATCAGGGGGACTGTTAGCCCAGGATCAAGCGTCAGATACGATGCTTACTGAATATCTATTACTGTTGTACCACCATAAAGTCAAAAACTAAATAAATAAATAAATAAATGGAGCCATTGTTAGTCATTGATTATTTGTATTTTTCCTTCAAAACACATATTTCATTATTATAAGAATACCATTTTATTAATACTGGTTTTGATTTAATGGCTAATATACATCATAAGGAAAATATAATTTTTCCAAGAAGCATCCAAAAAAAGGCTTTTAGAATTTTTCATCATGCTCAGCTGCATGGCCCCTGCTTTGACTAAGTATTGATTACTATACATTTAAAGGATGCTTTTAATAAAAGATTATTTGTAGGAATATAGTATTAATGTTATTTTAAAATGTATTGATATTTTTTTCCACTGGCCATATTTTATTTTTTTATTTGAAATAGAAACAAGATTGAATTACATGATGATCCCAGTTCCCTTCTCCCTCCCATCCTCCCCTACCACCCCCCAACTAAAACCCTACCTGTCACACACCCTTCTCATGTAATGTATTGATATTTTTGAGTACTGTATTTACATCATTCCCACACCACTATCTACCCCCTCCACCTCCTTCCATGTCCCCCCAATCAAATCTCTTTCAACTTTATGACCTCTTCCTTATTGGTGTGTGTGTGTGTGTGTGTGTGTGTGTGTGTGTGTGTGTGTGTGTCTGTGTGTGTGTGTTTGTGTGTGTGTGCCTGCACCCACACATCTCTAGGATGACCTCCTGGATTGGGTAGCCTGTCCAGGGCCTGCTCCTTAGAGAAGGACGACTCTCCCTCCTTTAGCAGCCACTGATGACCAGGAGTAGGGATTTGTGAGCTCTCCCATCTATGTCTGTTCTCATTGTATAGCTCTTGTTTAGGAGAGCACGTTTTAGGCTTTCATGGGTGCAGCCTAGGTGTCATAATTAGAGCACACTGTCTCACAGCAGCCAGCCTGCTCCTGTGGCTTTTACAGTCTTTCCACCCCGTCTTCCGCAACGCCCCCTGAGCCGCAGATTGTGTTGTAGACATATCAGTTGGGTTTCCACACTCAGTTCTTGACTTTTGGGCCAGGAGTAGGTTCCTGTGACAGTCTCCATTTTCTTTTTTCTTTAATCCTTTCTGTTCAACGAAACCTTCTATAAAGGCCCCCTCCTCCAGAAGACCTCATGACTTCCACCCTTTCCCATCTTTTAATGTTTCTGACTATACTTACATTATTTTTGTTTGTTTTGTTATTTTTTGAGACAGGTCTCGTGTAGCCCAGGTTGGCCTTGAACTCATTATATAGCCAAGGATAACTTTGAGCTCCTGATCCACCTATCTCTGCCTCTCAAGTGTTGTCATTACATGTATGCAACATTGCACTGGGCTCTGCACCCTATTTAAGGGCACAAACATCCCACCAAGTGTTACTGGATCATCTGCAGTACTACTGTACTTTTGCTTGTGTAGTGTTCTGCTCCTGTGTGTTGTCTGACAGTGAGCCATGTTAGTTATTACCAGAGTTGTAGGTTTGTTCCAACTTAAGTTGATTGATATATTCAGTCCTTTGGATTCCATTGGTACCATAACAGAGCATAGAATAGGAGCCACAATTTTGATATTTTATTCTTCACAATAACCATCATAATGATAAATAGGAAGACCTTAGAATTTTTTGATAAATGAAATAATAAATGTATTATTTCATTTCTGGAACTCTAAGCCTTTAATGATCAAAATAAAAAATTGCTCAACACAATTACTCACATTCACATTGCTGCAGAACCTCTGTAAGCCAGTGTGGTGAGAGGACCTGCGCTGTTCTGAACTGGGCAAAAAGACAAGGCTGTGCTCTTTCCTCCTGTCTCAACAAGATGGCCCAGTCCAGAACTGAAAGATGATATAAAAATGGACATGTATAGGCATTGGATCTGATTAATTTCAGAGCATGATTATTTGTAATATTTTCTAATAACTTTTTTAATTTTTAAAAATTTAAATAGTAAATATGAATGGCATCTTAAAGTAACACATATTTATTATCTAACAGTTAAGTAGATGAGAAATCTATATCACGAGAAGTCAGTCAAGCTGACTCTTACCTGGAGTCTCTAAGGCGGAGAGGTGGGGACTCACTGAGCTACTTAATAGAGCTTGGTTTCATACACTTATGTCTCCCTCCTAGCTATGGGCCAAGAGTCCTCAGCTTCTAGAGGCCACCCACATTCCCTGCTTCCCCTCTGTGGAAGCCTGCGGTGTCAGTCCACGCTGTGGTTTATGTTTATGTTTTCTTGACCTCCTGTCTTATTCTTATACAGAATTCTCTGTTTGTGATTAGGCTGAATCCCCCCTGTTATCTTGAACTGTAGCGAGTCACATCTGCAAATGTCTTTCTGCCCTGGCTGAGCATTCTGATCTAGGAACAGCCCCTGGCTCATTTGTTTCCCCCTGCAGTTTGTTTGCAAAGTCTTGTTAATTGTTAGTTTTCCACATGTGGATCTTACTGCTTACATACCTCTGTCTGCTACACTTATTACCCTGGCCCCTATATTGCCTAAATTTTAACAATTAAAAACTAGACTGCAGGGGTTGGAGAGATGACTCAGCAGTTAAGAGCACTAGCTGATCTTCCAGAGGACCCAGGTTCAAATCCCAGCAGCCATATGGCAGCTCACAACTCTCTGTAACTCCAAGATCAGACACCCTCACACAGACATACATACAGGCAAAACACCAATACACATAAAATAAAAATAAATTTTAAAAAACAAAATTTAAAAAATCTAGACTATAGAAATATAATTAGATTCATCCTCAATTTTGAGTTAGATTGTGTCATAGGTACTAGTGGTATGTCTGGTTGTCTCTACATTCGAAGCATTTGTAATCATTGACCCTCCCTACCTTATATAATTAAAAGCTTCAGAATGGCATTAATCTAGTTTATCATTTTGTCTGTATTTACATTCCATTATCAACAAATGGTTCCCCAGAGATATGGTGTACATATTAATAAATAATAATAATAATTAGTTCTTTCACAGTATTTTCTATTTATCAAATTAAGCTGGCTATTTACCAAAATTAACCAATTAGTTTTTTTTTCTTTTTCATTTGAGATTTTTGGCTCATTAATTTGGTATTTGGAATACTTCATCTGTTGTGTGGGGGTTTTTTGTTTGTTTGCTTTCTTCAGTGAATGCTCAAACATCCCCATCATGGGTCCTTTTGAGAAACTTCAGCTGTATTCAAGTGCTTGTTGCTTTCTCATCTGAGATGTTCTGGCTCATCTTGCTTATTTCTTGCTTCATGTGTCAGAACTGTTTCTGAGTGTTCAGAACTCGGAATGTAGTTAAGATGCTGAGCACTGAGGTCTGCTTCTGTTTCCCAGGTCGCGCTGCATGCTTGTGGAGTAGCAACAGACATGGTGATTGAGCACTGCGTCCAAACACGGGCTTCTTTCATCACGTGCCCCTGCTGCTACGGGTTCATTCAGAACACGTCCAAGTTCAACTTCCCAAAAAGGTGAACTTTAGCTTTTTACCTAAGACACTGATGTGAGAGTGAGTTGCTACACAAGACTTGTTTAATAAAGATGCAGTGAGAGCCGGGCGGTGGTGGTGCATGCCTTCAATCTCAGCACTCAGGCAGATCTGTGTGTTCGAAGCCAGCCTGGTCTACAGAGTGAGTTCCAGGACAGCCAGAGCTACACGGAGAAACCCTGTCTCAAAAAACCACAAATCAATCAATAAATAAATAAGGTTCCAGTGATGTTTTAATTTGAGATTATTTACCTTTTCCACAGCATGGCAGATCAGCATTAAGAGGAGTGACTGTCCTCTGTCTGTCCCCGCCTTTTCTTCCTGATCCAGTTAGATGCAAGTCTGTTTAGGAGCCAGACCAGTAGAAGTCTGATGGCTTCCGCACCCCCTGTGTTCTAACTGAAATCAGAGCCACCCTCTCTCAGAGGCAGTGGAGTGTGATGGCCAAGTGTTGGCGTCTAGAAACATCCTGACCAGGTGCAGCACTGGCTGCTTATCTCTCTATAAGTCCTTTCGCCTCAGACAAGTTACTTGACTATTTTCCCTTGTTTTCTCATGTACAAAATGAGCTTGTACTAGGCTCCACCACAAGGGCTTCGGTGAGCATTTAATAACGGTATGTGTATTACTTAGAAGCAGCAAAGGGGCCAAGTACATGCCTATAATCCTGACACCATGTCGGCTGAAGTAGGATTGCCTCAGGTTCAAAACCAGCCTAGGCACAGAGTAA